TGGCAGCCTCAAAATGATTATGTAGACTAGACCAGTATAGGCAGAGGACTGCTGGCCAGCTCCCAAATAACCACATGGAGACTTAATATTAATTATAAATGCTCGACCAATAGTTTTGGCTTCTTACTTACTAGCTCTTATAACTTAACCAATATTTCTTATTTATGCTCTGTCATGTGGCAGTACCTTTTTTCAGCATAACATGTTCATCTTGCTTCTTCCATGTCTTCTGGCAACTCTGTGACTCCACCCTTTTTCCCTGCACTCTTTTTTTATCCACTAGTCACTCCTAACCTTTTCCTGCCTAGCTATTGGCCAGGCATATCTTTTATAACCAGTAAGAGAAATACATAATCACAGTGTAAAATAAAAAGTTTTCCACAGTATTTCCCCCTTTTTTGTCTAATTAAAAGGGATGGTTTTAACTTTAACATAGTAAAACTATATAAAACAAAAACAGTTATCAAATAAAAATTATGGTTGCAATATCTATTCTATTTGTGTTTGACAAATGTAGAAAACAATACTCTATTATCTATCTTATCTTTGTGAATCTAAAGTTTTATACCAATTTATTTTTATCATAACTAAGGAAAATTATCCATGTAACTATTTAGTCTTTAGCTTCATCAAAGACCCCAAGAAAGTTATAATATTACTTAACAACAGGTACATCTAGCTGCCTAAACAGTCACCAAAAATTCCTCTGTAACACTGGAGCTTCCATCTTTGGCATTCAAGCATAGTACATCTGACAATCATTTTGGAGAAGCAGAAAATTTTGAAAGACTGTGCTACCTTGCCTTGGCAAACTTTGGCAGTCACTTTCTTTTGTGTCCTGCTGGTTCAGTTTGGACAGCATACTGTCAGCAATTGAGGCAAGGGCAGTTTCTTTGCCCAAATGGCTAGATTTTGTAATAAAGAAAGCAAATTCCATATGGAGGTTCTTGGGTACCCACCATCTTCTTTTGTAGTAAATTGGTGCTATCATAAGCAGATGTGTCTCATTGTCATGAAAAACCTTAGGTTATTAAGCGTATTATAGGCCATATTCTGTGGATCTTTGAAGTGCTTGAAGCTCATCTATCTAAATGTATCTGTTTAACCCTGAAAATATACCTAATGTAACTACAAGTTTGATTATTATGGATGACTATTAATCTGTATTTTAATTATGAATTATATTTCTAAATGAGTTACATAAGCCCAATACCCCAGACAAGAGTAAAAACATACATATAGCATAAAAAAATTAACTTGAAATTTGTATCAATAGACCAAAGTTCATACCAATGTCTTGTTCCTGACTTCAGTGGAATCGCTGGGAGTTTCTCTTCATTTAGTTTGATGTTGGCTGTTGGCTTGCTGTATATTGCCTTTATTATGTTTAGATATGTCCCTTATATCCCTGCTCTCTCCAAGACCTTTATCATGAAGGGATGTTGTATTTTGTTGAAAGCTTTTTCGGCATCTAATGAGATGATCATGTGGTTTTTATTTTTTAGTTTGTTTATATAGTGGATTATGTTGACAAATTTTCATATGTTAAACCATCCCTGAATCTCTGGGATGAAGCCAACTTGATCATGGTAGATGATGGTTCTGATGTATTCTTTTTTTTTTTTGTAATTTTATTAAATTATAAAAGTTTCCATTTCCGCCCCTCCTCCTACCACCCTCCCACTCCCCCCACTCCTTCTCCTCCTCCCTCTCCATCCCTAAGAGCAGTCAGGGTTTCCTGCCCAGTGGGAAGTTCAAGTTCCTCCCGCCTCCCTCCAGGTCCAGGAAGATGAGTGTCCAGACGGACTGGATCCGCAAAATCCAGTATATGCAGAGGAAACAAGTCCCAGTGCCATTATCAATGGCTTTTCAGAAAGACTCCGGGCCAGCCACATTGAGAGAATCCGGCCACATTCAGAGAATCTTGTTGGATCGCGTCCTCGTTCAGTCCCAGTCCAACTGGCCTTGGTAAACTCTCATTAGATCCGTCCCCTTGTATCCGTGGGTGATCGCATCCCTCGCAGTCCTGATTTCCTTTTTCATTTTCTTCCTCCTTCTGCTCCTCATTTGGACCTTGGGGGCTCAGTCTGGTGCGGTTATGATGTATTCTTGAATTCAGTTTGCTAACGTTTTATTTGGTATTTTGTCCTTCTATGGTGATTGAAAGTTTTGCTGAGGATAGTAGCCTGGGCTGGCATCCGTGGTCTCTTAATGTCTGTATAACACTTGACCACAACCTTCTGGCTTTCATTTTCTCCAATGAGAAATCAGGTGTAATTGATAGGTCTGCCTTTATATGTTACTTGGCCTTTCCCCTTTGCAGCTCTTAATATTTTTTTCTTTATTCTGTAGTATGTTTGGTGTTTTGATTATTATGTGGCATGGGGACTTTTTTTTTTAATCCAGTCTGTTTGGTGTTCTGTTAGCTTCTTTTATCTTCATAGGCATATCTTTCTTTAGGTTGGGAAAGTTTTCTTCTATGATTTTGTTAAATGTATTTTCTGTGCTTTTGAGTTGAACTTCTTCTTTTTCTTCTATACCTATCATTTCTTAGGTTTGGTCTATTATGGTGTCCCATATTTCCTGGATATTTTTGGTTAAGCTTTTGTTAGATTTAATGTTTTCTATTTCCTCTATTGTATCTTCAATGCTTGAGATTCTCTCTTCTGTCTATTGTATTCCGTTGTTCATGCTTGCATTTCTGGTTCCTGATCGTTTTCTCATGATTTCTCTTTCTATAATTCCCTCGGCTTGTGCTTTCTTTATTATCTCTATTTTAGTTTTCAAGTCTTGAATAATTTCTTTCATAAGTTTGATTGCTTTTTCTTGGTTTTCTTTAAGGAATTTGCTGATGTCTTCCAATTTTTTGTTTATCTTTTCCTCTATTTCTTTGAGGGAATTTCTCATTTCCTCTTTAAGAGTTTTAAACATTCTCCTGAAGTTATTTTTTAGGTCATTTTATTCTGCTTCATCTATATTTGGTTGTTCAGGTGTTGCTGTTGTTGGGTCTTTAGAGTTTAACTGGTGGTGTGTTGCTCTCTGTGATGTTGCGTGTGTTCTCACCTTTTCTACTCATCTTTTCCTCTAATAGGTGTGGTTGGGGTTGTCTGAGATTCTGGTGATTAATTTTCTAGGTGCCAGTGAATCCAAGGCTCAGATGGTTGTTCCTCGTGGTACAGTCAGTGCCATGGTTCTATTTACCCCATTGGTCACTCTGTGTTCCTGGAGGTCGCTCAGCGCTCTCAGGCTTTGCTCTGTTCCCTTGGAGTTTGCTGTCTCAGGCCTGCTCTAGCCTAAGTTGTCAGCTCAGACCTGTTTCTGTGAATGTCCCTGGTCTAGATCCATTTCTGCAGAGGTCCCTGGCTTGGGGTTGGTCCTGCAAAGGTCTCTGGCCCTGGACTACTTCCTCAAAGGCCAGGCTTGGTTGCGCCCAGACCCTCAGAGGACTTGGCTCAGGCCTACTCCCTCAGAGGTCCCAGACTCACGCTTGTACCCACAGAGGTTTCTGGTTCCTTTTGTCTCTTTGACGTCCCAGACCAACGCCTGGACTAACAGAGGTCATGGCTGACGCCTGCTCCCTCAGAGGGCCCAGATTTATGCCTAGACCCGCAGAAATCTCTGGTTCCCGCCTACTTTCTTGGAGGTCTCAGATTCACACTCAGATCTACAGAGGACCCGACTCAGCTCAGGCCTAGTTCCTCAGAGGTCCTAGACTCATACCCAGACCCACAGGGGTTCTGGCTTAGGTCTACTCCCTTGAAGGTCCCAGATTCACATCCGGACCCACAGCGGTCTCTGTTTCTAGCCCACTTGCTCAGAGGTTGCTCCCCTGTATCTGCTCCTGTGGAGTTCATTGTCTCAGGTCTGCTCTGGCCCAGGTTGCTGGCTCTGTCCTGCCTCAGCAAATGTCCCTGAACTGGATCCCTAGAGTTTGTTTTTCATCTGGATCTTTCTTTACTGCTTATCTTAATCTTTTCTGTTGCAGGAGCAAAACCTTCAACTTGCCAAGTGGCTTAGTTCATGATTTGTTGATAGGGCTCCCTCTAGCGGCTCAAGCCCGCAAACAGCGGCCAGGAGTCACTTCTTTGTATTACAGGCCCATGACTGCAAAACTAGGAAACTATATTTGACTCCTTTTTTGTGTGTTTGGGATGTTTTCTTAAGCTTTCTCAGGTTTTATTTGGATATACCTTGCCAGACTTTGGGTGCTATAGAATCACCAGCCAGTTCACAAATAACCACACAGAAACTTGTTAATTGTAAACTCTTGGCCAATAACTTACGCTTTTTACTAACTAGGTCTTACAACTTAAACTAACCTGTATTTCTTAGCTAACACTCTGACACGTGGCAGTACCTTTTTTCAGAACAACATGTTTATCTTGCTTCCTCCATGTCTCCTGGCAACTCCATAACTCTGCTCTTCTTCTTTCCCTGCTCTCTTTTTTCTGCACATTTTGTCTACCTTTCCCTGCCAAGTTGCTATTGGCCGGTCAACTCTTTATTAACCAATGAGAGTAGCACATATTCACAGTTGATGTGGGATGTCCTTCTGTATATGTGTTGCTTGATTGGTTGATCAATAAAGCTGTTTTGGCCAAGGGCTTAGCAGAGTAAAGCCAGGCAGGAAATCCAAACAGAGATATATAGAAAGAGTAGGCAGAGTCACAAAGGTACAATGTAACTGCCAAAGGAGACAGACAGTGGATCATTACCAGTAAGCCCCAGCCTTATGCACTATGTAGATTAATAGAAGTGGGTTAATTCAAGATGTAAGAACTAGCTAGAAATACACCTGAGTCATTGGCCAAACAGTGTTGTAATTAAAATACTTTGTGTGTAATTATTCAGGTCTGAGCAGTCTCCACCTACACACAGTACACTAAATGATTGTTCCATAGCAGGCTGGCCTTGAACTCACAGAGATTCACCTGTTTCATGAGTGCTGGGATTAAATGTCTACACCACTATGCCTGGCTTAAAGTTCATTTTTTTTTCAGTATGATTACAACTATGTAACAAGAATTGTACTGGTCACCATCATTCTTCCAGTTACTTGTGACAGGTGAGTTTTTAGATAGACGGGACAGTTATTGCGATGTCAGCTCCATTGTGCTTGGACTAGAACTATTGTGTTCTCTTGTCAGTTGAAGAGTCCAGTGGAATCCCTTTCTAGTGACCACCAGCCTTGTTTTTGGATTATAGTTAGTAAGTGTAATTTTAGTTGTGACAATAATGTTCAGGATGCATGTGAAGGCATAATTATATAGAGCATAAAACTGAATATGCTTCCTTCCTTTGGCTCACAATCTAAATTTGGTAGACAAGAATTTCCTTCCCTGGATGTCATTAAAAATAGAAAATATCCATCGGTCTGGAATGGATTTTAGAGATGTGCCTAGAGCTATGAGCCAAGTATGTAATACTGGCTTCTGTCCAGCTCTCGGATTCTTAGAAAAATAATGTGGGCTTTAATACAGAGACCAAGAGTTACGGTTAGTAATGTAACCTTGAATTGTCCTCTAAATGTGTGGACCTGAGGAAGACCTTTGAGCTTTGGGGAGTAATTGGAAAAAAATGAAGCAGTGCTGCTTGACTGCCTGGCTAAGGAAGCATTTGGCTCTGCAGTATAGGCCAGTTTCAGATCTGGTTTTGTGAATTACATGCTGTATAAGAAACCTCTCTGAGAGTATAACACCATTTATGTTGCTGAGCTGATAAAGCCTACTTCTTGGGGTTATCAGAAGAAAATCAAGTATTTTAGTATCTGTGAAGTGCTTTTCTTCAATGCCTGGAATATAGACCCATTTTGGGGTGATGATAGTTGTTATTTTTGATGATGTTAGCATTACTTCTGATTCCTTTTATTTAAAAAAAAATGCTGACTGCATGGTATGGGGACACACTTCTTTAAGCCCAGCACTTAGAAGGCAGAGACAGGTAGTAAGTTCTGTAAGTTCCAGACCAGGTAGTACATTGAAAACCTGTCTCAAAAACATTAGCAAAACAAACAAAACTACAAACTGAAAATTCTGCCAACTACCTGCTAAAAATAGAATTTTAACTTGGATCTTAGGTTATAATAATACATCTAAGGGTGTTTGGAGAGGTGGGGATTATATGCAAGAAGAGTGAAAATCATCAGTGCAGGCACAAGAACTTGGAGGAGAAAGCCATGGAATTCAAGGCTCTGACTTACTTATTACCAGGTCTCAGATACTTTTCTTAGTTCATTCAAAAGGTTATATATATCAGGTGGAAGAAAAAATTGGGAATCATTGAATTGGAGATGTTCATCTACATCAGCCCTCTGTTTATAATGCCCCTGTGGATCCTCAGTTCCCCTAGTACAGAGGTCCAGGAAACCTGATGCAAACCAGTTCTCCTGGCTCCTCTCCATCAGTCTAAGTGTCACACTGCTGTTATACCTGACTTTCCTGCCATTGCTCAGACTCACCAGGAAGGCTGACTCGTAGCCTGTTCTCTTGCTGCTTTCTATGCCTGGAATACGAGAATAGAAAGCTGGGATTCAAATATATATTATGCATCAGTTTGCACAACAGTATTAGTTGTGCAATATTAGTATATTAGTATTAGTCAACAGTAGTCAAAAGGATGAAACAGCTTCACTGTCCATCCATGAAAGAATTTGTACACAAGTAGTGTATATATACAACTTTAAACTTTAAAGACATCTTGCTAAGTAAAATAAGTTAGGTACAAAATGGCAACTATTACAAGAATCCCCTTACAAAATTCAGTGTCTCTAGATTGCGTGTATTCTCCCGTAGTCCCATTACAATAGGAAGATTTTCAACTTGTCAGTAGCCTGGGTTACTTAGTATAGTCCTCTTTCAAAAATACAAAAAAAGAAAGAATTTCATATATGTACTAACAGACTGTAATTTCTCCATGTTCATTGCTTGCACTTGAGATTGGAGTGTTCAAATTCAGGTAGAACCTAAGCCAAGGTACTAATGATAATACTTACCCTTTGTTGAAGCAAATGCTATATATTTGTTTTTGTTGAAGTAAAAACTTTTCTTAAAATTCTGAGTCAGGCAGTCGTGGTGCGTGCTGCCTTTAATCCCAGCACTTGGGAGGCAAATCTCTGAGTTTGAGGACAGTCTGATCTACAGCATGACTTCCAAGACAGCCAGAGATATAGAGAAACCTGTCTCCAAAAAAAAAAAAAAAAATCTGTAGGAGTTACATTGTGCTTAGTATAATTTGGGAACTAGCTGAATATGTCTTTTCTCTATTTTTTTACATATGTAAATGTGTATTTGTCACTGATCTCAAGGCAATGAAAATGAAAGACCCTGGAAGAATGGTGTTTATAAAAGAGGCAGACTAAAGCCCCTGTAATAACCAACTATCTATTTAGAGTATCAGCCAGTTTATACTGAGGGTTAAGAGGAGTCACATGTAAAGTGTACAAGGACAAGCTGCATGTGACAGACATGTTTTTCGCTAAAGGCATATAGCCAGATAGCAGTAGCTAGCTGTAATGAATAATCAATCACTCCTACCCACTACACCTGGGAGGGACACAAAAAAAAAAATCAAGAAGAAAACTGAGTCACAAGACTCTTGTCTTGGTTTCTTACAATTTTCTCAAAGGCACTCAGAAATCTCCTCACATGGACCTTATTCCAACTGTACTATTTTTCATCTTAATTTTTTAAAGACTTAGCTTTCATTTTCAATGTCTGTGCACCACATTCAAGCAGTGCTCAAGAAGGACAGATGAGGTTGTGAGATTCCCTGGGAATCTGCCTTGAGGGTTCTAAGAAACAAACTCGGGTCTTTTGCAAGGGTGATGTCTTAGTTTGAACTTCTGTTGCTGTGATTAAACTCCATGACCTAAGCATTTGATGATGGAAGTCAAGGCAGGAACTGATGCAGAGACCATGGAGAAGTGCTGCTACTAGGTTTGTTCCCTATGGCTTGCTTAGTTTGATTTTTTTGTGGAACCTCAAAAACTGGACCCTCACTCTCCAACATCAATCACGAATTAAGAAAATACATTATAGGCTTGCACACGGGCCAGTCTGATGGAAGCATTTTCTCAATTGAGGTTCCCTCTTCCACAATGGTTCTACCTTATGTCAAGTTGATGTAAAAATTAGCCAGTACAAGCAGCAAGTGTTTTTAATTGCTGAGTCACCTCTCTGGTCCTTGTTTGTGTGTGTGTGTGTGTTTTTTAAGAACTGGAAGCAGGAGGGAGAGTTTTGGTGCTATAAATGTGCTTGCTGATTGAGGAATAGGGCACATCCCTTCACACCCAGGAATTTTCTAACATCTACTAAAACAACAACCTGCTTTTTATATCTCTAGTTCTAGCCTGCATAATTGCTTCAGCATAATAGCTATTACCTCAGACAGAATGAGTATTTAATAACTAGGTTGGAGATAACTAGGTTTTCCCTAATAGGGAAAACACCACTACAGTAGCTCTCTCCCATATCTGACCTCCCTGTTCCTCAGTTTACCAGCGTTGTGTCTGTCTGTATCTCGCTACCTCACTTTAGGAATTCAGGAATTATAATGATCTGGGTTATCGGTCCTCCAAACTCTTTACTGTGTACATTGAAAATCTCTAATAAGATTAAAACAGCCATGGCACCCATAATGATTGAAAGCTTCTGTTTGACTTTTATGCATCAACTGAACATGTTACCCTACTTTATTAATAAGCCCATTTATTGCTTTTCTAGATTTATACTCCTATAAAAGGTCATTTTTATTATTGTAGTAGATAAGCTCGTAGGGAATGGCAGTATTGGGAATTGTAGCTTTGTTGGAGTAGGTATAGCCTTGAAGGAAGTGTCACTGTGGAGGCAAACTTTGAGGTCTCATATATGCCCAAACCACACCCAGTATCTCAGTCCACTTCCTGTTGCCTTTGGGTTAATATGTAGAAATCTCAGCTCCTTCTCCAGCACCATGCCTGACTGCACACCACCATGTTGCATCATGATAATGGACTAAGCCGTTCCTGTGGTCATGATGTCTCTGCACAGCAATGGAAACTAACTAAGACAATTATTATACTCTAAATTATGTTCTAAATATGTTTGTATTGTTCTTGGCTAATTTATTTTTGAAATGGGTCTCTGTGTTGCATAGGCTGGAAGCCAACCTATCTAGGATCAAGCCATCTTCTCTTGTTTGCCTCCTAAGTAGCTAAATCTATAGGCACATATTGCTATTCTGACTAAATATGTTACACAGGCTTAGTGCTGGAATAATGAAATGTTTGCTGGTGGTGGTTCAGGTCTGTAATTCCACCATTTAGAGGCAGAGGCAGGAAGAGATAGTGGACTTGTGTTCAACAGTGAAATCCTGTCACAAGTCCCTACTTCACTGGAAATTTCTATAGTTTATTGACAAACATATTAATTTTTAGATGTTCACAAAGTATGCATAGTCTTTTATGCAATGAATATAGATGTATTTCAAGGCAGCAACAAAAGAAATTCCTTATAAATTACTTCGGGAAAGACTTGTGCAATTCTTTAAAAAAAAAAACAAAACAGGGTATCTTAGTTAGGGTTTCTATTGCTGTGAAGAGAGACCATGACCACAACAACTCTTACAAAGGAAAACATTTAACTGGGGTAGCTCACTTACATTTCAGAGGTTCAGTCCATTATCATCATGGTAGGACATGGCGGCATACAGGCAGACATGGTGATATAGAAGTAGCTGAGAGTCTTGCTTCTTGGAGACAACAGGAAATGATCTTGAGCATAGAAAACCTCAAAACTCACCCCCACAGTGACATGCTTCCTCCAACAAGGAACACCTCCTAATAGTGCCACTCCCTTTTGGGCCATTTTCTTTCAAACCACCACAAGTGTACTACCATGTCCAACATCAGTTCTTTTCTTCTTTGCTCATTGGATTACACAATTCAGTTTTTGATTTAAATCATACATATTCCAATCTAAAATACTTAAATATGTTAATATGATGATTACATACACATATATTAATATATTTCAGGCCTTTAAACTCTCAGGTATTTACAGAACTAGAAGGATGATACATTATATCTAC